CAGGCTGAGGTTGCAGGGTTCAAATTTTGGTTGGCTTCACAGAAAATTTTGTCAACTAAATAAATAACCCTCAAACATGTCCGGGCGGGGAGCTGTGACAACCAAAGATTCCAAAACCTGATTGCCCTACACTTGAAGGGATCCTTTTCATAGCAAAGTCCTTACGTAATTTACCTTCCTAGTTCACTTATAGAATCCTCCATATGAAAACATTCACAAAACTCTACAAAATGTGCCTCAATCTCTTTCCAAGTATCACATTATCTTACAACTCAAGCTTCCTTATTATCCAAAGAGTAGCTACTTTCACACTCTCATTTTCTCCGTTTGCACTCCTCCCCTTGTCTTTACGCCTTGATTCTCCTTCCGTTTGCTCATTTACCAAAGCGCAAAAACACGCTGGACGAGAGTGCAAATCGAGAAAATGAGAGTACGAAAATTGCCACCAATCCCAATTCTTCAATGAGCAAAACCACAATCTTCTAATCCACAACAATCACAATTTCAATCACATCCCATCAAGACTCAGATCTTCAATCGAAGAACAGAAGCAATTTCATTTCGCAAAACATCATTTACAAATCACAAGATGCAGTATGCAGTTGCAGAATTCAGTACTCAACTCAATAAATTAAACAATTAGATCAAAGCCGAAAAGATTTGAAAAGCCGCTGACTTCAATCAATCAACTCAAAGCTTACTGATGATTTCTGCTGAGCCGGGAGTAGTCAATTTTGCAAGTAAAGACCTGAAGTGGCAACCGCAAAGCCTCGAGCTTGGGGAAGCACATGTCGTTGAGGACGTCGCTGCGGCACCACCGGCACTTGGGGTTGCGGGAGCACTGCGATTCCGACGACATGTCGTTGCAGTTCTGGATCTGACTCTGATTGCCTCCGTTGTTCCTCCTTTGGCTGCCCGACAGGTCACGACCCGGACGCATCCGAGGCTCGGTTCCGTGGCACGAGCTGCACAGAGTAGCTAAGAGGACCAGGACCAGGATAAAGGTCGCGGCTTTAGAACTCGGACCTCGGGACTCGGTTGCCATAGGTGGTGAGTCGCTGCCTCGGACTCTCTGCTGCCGGTTCGCTCGCGGGAATGTAAGAAGCAAGAACACTACCTTGTAAATAATAATTATTTATTTTCCATAAAAATAATTATTAATTAAATAGAAGTATATTAAAAGAAAAAAAACTCGGAATTAATAGAGAGGAGGAAACGTTTAAGAGAGAAGACTGACCTAGACGACAATACAGCTTCTTCCTCTTCCTCTACTCCTTAACCATTTTTCAATCTTATTGTTTTTCTATGCTTTCCCAATCAAATTTAATTTATTAATTTTCGATTTCTCTCCCTCCTAATTTCTTCATACGTCGCAGCAGAATCCGTTGCGATTTTCCTTGATGATCAGTATATGCCCACGAAGAACATAGAGATTAAAGATCGAAGCTTGATTTGATTAAACTAATGGACGGCCCCCGAAAACTGAATTCTGAGGTTGAGCCGACGATTTGGCTTCTGGGGTTTCGGATTTTTCACTTCAGGGAGGCACCCTCCGCTCGAATTTCCATTCTCCGCCGGTAATTTCAATTCTCTATTGCTTTAAATTGAATTGGGTTTTTTTAATGTTATTTGATAGTGTGTGTTTAAGTTTTCTATTCAATTTTGGGATTTGATCCTACGCTCTGTGTGTATCTTGACGTATTCGATTATTATTCGTTGATATGAAGTCCCAAAATTTAGTTGGTATTGCCTCAGCTACGAGAACAATTAGGATTTAGGGTTCCTTTTTGAGGTTCGGAAGTAAAATTCAATTCGGAGAGATGGAAAGTTACAGTATTTTGGTGGTTTTTCGTTGTTTTAATTTTAGGGTTTCTCTGAAAATAATAGTGTATAGGTGTTTCTGATTAATTTTAGGTTTTGATTTTGCTGCCTGTTAATATTGCTAAGTGCTTGCGGCGTGCTACTTATTGAATTGAAAGTTTGAATCTATTCGAAATTGGATACACCAAACGCTAACTGGTGCTGTTTTGTGGATCACAGAATGATGGAGTTGATAATCATGGAGAGCAGAAGCATAATGATGATCGAATAGTGACAGAATCTGGAGAATGTGACTCTGAGGTTCATGGTAAGGAGAATGGGGAGCAAAGAAAATACTTCTATTATGAAGCTCCACTTTCTGAAGAAACGGGGGTTTGGATACCTGTTTCCGTTCCGCCTATGTGGGAAGCTGAGCATGATGAGTGGGGCAAAGGTTTCTACTCTAATGGGGGATACCTTCCCGAGAGTGACATGGGCTGGGGCCAGTACATTGGGGACGAGAAGGAGCTGACTATGTGGGATGTGATGGTAGAAATGTTGCTTGCAGCCCGTGGGAAAGTAGGTTCATTAGCTTCAGCTGATACGTACGGATGTAAACTTTCGTGGATGTCAGGTAATCTCCTTGATCAAGCGTGGAAAGAAATGGCCCAAACACTCACAGATGCAAATTTTGCTAATGTAAGAGAACTCATTGAAGCTGAACCCCCAAAATGGTTGGCCGATAGTTCTGCATCTTCTTGTATGCTTTGTGGTGTGCACTTTCATCCAATCATGTGTTCTAGGCATCACTGTCGGTTTTGTGGAGGAATATTTTGTGGTGACTGTTCTAAGGGAAGGAGTTTGATGCCGGCAAAGTTCCGTGTTGCGGATCCCCAACGAGTCTGTGATGTATGCTGTGTACGACTAGAGTCTGTCCAACCATACTTAATGGACCAAGTAAGCCATGCTGCCCAGGTGCCAACCCAAGATCTTACAGACCTTAGTACTTTGAGGTCATGGATTAATATTCCTTGGGGACAGTCCATGGAGTATGAGATATATAAGGCGGCAAATGCAATTCGTGTTTATAAGAAGGTAAGAAAGCCCAATATCTTAGTGACTATTGTTGCTTAGGCTTTATATTTTTGTTGTCTGACTTAAATAAATTTGGGCTCTAATTTTTCCCTGCATGGATGATAAACGACGGTTGGAGAATTCATGAATATCGTTATTTGTAGGATATTAACATGTATTCATAAATTTTGAATGACATTGTCTTCCTAACGTTCTTGAGTTTTCTATAAATGCTGCTCATGGAATTAATTGCCTCAGGTATGTTCACTAAAGCCTGAGAAGTCGATTCCAGATTCCATTCTGAGACAAGCAAAAGGCCTTGCAATAATCACTACTGTGAAAGTTGGAGCTATGGTTACTTACAATATCGGTACAGGAGTTGTGATTGCTCGTAGAGAAGATGGCTCTTGGTCTCCACCATCTGCTGTTTCTACATTTGGTATAGGTTGGGGTGCGCAGGTACGATTATTTCACTGTGTCTCCAGTCTTACAATTAGCAATCACTATGACAAAGATAGCCAGTTCATACCTGCATTTAGTATACACTTCAGGTTTAGTAAAATGGAGGAACATCATTAAGATTAAGCAGTTTTTCAGAAAATAATTACTTACCATTTTAGAATTTTTTTTGTGTTGTCTATGGCTATTTTAAATTGGATCCTTATTCCCAAATTCCAATTTAAATGTAAGTGCAAAAGGTTTGAAATGTGATATTAAATCAGCGTGTGTTTTGCATTTTTCTAAGGATTTAAAAACTCCATCCTCATGCCTCCTTTTTGGTTGCAGGCTGGAGGGGAGTTGACAGACTTTATCATTATTTTGAGAACAAGTGAAGCTGTAAAGGACATTCAGTGGTAATGTGCATGTATCAGTAGGAGCCGGTTTGAGTGCTGCAGTCGGTGTTGTTGGAAGGGCAGCTGCAGCTGATGTTCGAGCCGGAGATGGTGGTCGCGCTGCTTGTTATACATACAGCTGTAGTAAAGGTGCTTTTCATATGCATTTTTTATGTCTCTTCTTACACCATTTTAATTATCTACGTAGCATACATCAGCATCACGATGTTTTATCTGTAGTTTCTTTCATTTTTCTTTTTCTTCATCTTCCATTTTGAGCGGTTTCCTTATGATCGTACCAATCATTTCGATTTGCAGGTGCATTTGTTGGATGCTCACTGGAAGGTAGTATTGTAACCACCCGCACGAAAGTGAATTCTCGATTTTATGGCAGCCAGTCAATAACTGCAGCAAATGTTCTTCTTGGCTCGTTGCCCCAACCCCCTGCCGCTTCTACTCTCTATCGTGCTCTTGCAGACCTATATCAGAAGATCGAGCAGTGACCCCAAATCATTCGCTGAAGATTGCCGGGTGATCATGGGGAAACAAATCGTTGAAGTTTGTACATTATGTGCATATATGCTCTGAAGCTTTCCAATGATGAAGGTTCGTTGCTGCCATTCTTTGCCCACGAAAAACTTTTTCTGGGACTTACCGTGCACGCGGAGGCCATTGCAAGGGAGGGGCGAAATATGTTCCTTATTTGGAGCCACTGTATATAAATTATGCTCTCAATTTCTCTCTGTAAATCTGACATATATTCTGGAGAAAGCCAAAACTTACAGAAACAGTATTTCTTTGCAAAAGAAATCAGAAATGTAGTATTTCGTTGGGAAACTTGTTTTGTCACTTGTTTAGATCAGAGATCAGTGTTTAAAATATCTATGAAATTGTCGATATTTTTTGTCGAGATATGCAAAAAATCAAGGATCAATATGGAAAGGGTTGAAATGCAAACTTCACTTTATATCGTCGAGATATAGGAAAACCAATTAATGATGATATTTACCGTTTCAAAACAGAAATTTGTCAGAATTCATTGCAGAATTTAAATTTTCGAGTTTATTTTTGAGATATTTTTCTTTAATTTCGATTAAATCTAAATGAGTTAATATACCCACTTCCATTGTAGAATCTCCATCATTTTCGACGAACGCAACCGGTATCAATACATAATGAACATTCACATCTGAAATCCGACTCAATGATAAATCGAAAATCCGAAACCAAACAAACAAACAAGGAAATGTATCAATCCTTCCAAATGGTAAGAAAAATTTGACAAAGCATGAATTTAAAAGAAGGGGCAAAAAAACACCACCATGAACTATTTATAATTAAACTTTTAGTCCTCTTTTGTTAACAGAAGGATCCTACTCTCTGTACTACTAACTCATCAACTGAAACACCCAGTAGACATGAAGTCGAAACTTCGCAAGAACCCCAATCAAGAGACTCGCACACAATTATCTTCTAACCCTATTCGCTCAAACCGCTCTATCTTCAACGCCAACGTAAGTACTTAACAAACAAAGCCGGTAAAGTCGAGGAATTCTCCAAATGCTGGATCCATTTCGCCGCTAATCGGTTCCTCCAACTTACCTAGTCCGAGTGCTCCCGAGCGTAAGTTCGAGATCATCTGATACGCATTCCTCAATCCTCTCACCTTCCCATGGCTTCACTAATCCTGTTGTGTTACTGCCAAATGCAAACTCCGCTGCCATCCCATCCGACATTGGGATGTCACCAGTGTGATCAATACTTGCAGCAACTACCGGGGAACATGTTCCACTTTGCCCAGGAGTCCACATCCGAGACCCTGCACCTGACAAAGCCTCCTTCAAGTTAAAAGGGTTTTTCGAGACAAGGCTGAATGTTGGGGATGATGGGCCACTCTGAGGAATTTGCAGTCCAGCAAGCCATCCTGAGTCAGGCAGAACCTGGCGACCGGGGCTTGGTGGGGTGGACGAAGGCAGGAAAGGGTAATGCTGCCCTGCCCAGCTTGAGCCAGCGACTGCTTCATCCCAATCGCTCTTGGTTCGAGGAGTTCGACAAGTTGGGGAGCTCAGCGGTGGGGTGACTGGAGCACTTATGGAACCCCCTTGAACAAAGAATTGGGGGAGCTTGGACATGGCAGACGATGAGCCTGATGAGAGCGTTTTAAGCCATGGGATCAGAGAATTCGCATCAGCATTACCGTTTTCATTTGCATGGTAGCGGGCGGGACTTGGGAAGGAAGATGAGGCAGGACTTGGATTGTAGGATGCGCCAGGACTCGGATTGTAGGATGCACAGGGACTTGGCTGGTACGATGAACATGGACTTGCTGAGGTAGAACCCCCCATTATGTCCATGCGATCCACGGGTTTGCATCCCTACAACAAAGAACACATAAAGTACGGTGAGACAAAGAACATAATATGGTGCTGAAAAGATGCTACATTAACCCTTGATGTCTAACAAATGAAGAAACACAATTTTCTAGCAGACATAAAACTGTGTTTCATTCATTGTTTTCCTAAAAATGAACAGACAAAATAGTTGATCGAAGCAGAAAGATTTGTCCTTTATCGATTATGCTTTACAGCTATGTTTTCTGTACCAAAGGATAACACAAACGAGCATAGTTCTACAATCATCACTTCCACAGTCATTGCCAGTTCGAAAAAGCATTGAACTAATGATGAAGTCTTATGAAACTACAATCCGGCTAGTAGCAGGAGAAAAAAACTCGCATACACTCGAGTTTCACATCCTATGTTCCTATAGCAATCATCGCGCGAGGTGACCTAGTCCAACAAGTATAGGAAACTTAGGCCATGCTTGTAATTTGACCAATTGCACCAAGATTCAGAAGTAAGACACAATTAAAAGAGGGAGCAATAATGTCAAACAGTGGATGCATATTGGTTACACGACCCCTCCACGACACGCCATCTCCCAACATGTTCCCTCTCCATCACTATCTCAAAAAAACCCACCGCACACGCTTTCCTGCCTCGGTCGCATTCACATTTTTAGCAAAAAATGAGAATCCAACGAGAAAAATCACCCCTTTTCTCACCTAAATCTCTTTCGGGCTAAAACCCTTTTTTTTTTTTTTTTTTGGTGTCAAATAAATATATTTAAAAAGTCGTACACAGTGCACTTGCAGTGCCACAATGAAGGTAAATCTATCACAACATTACTAACTACAATTAGGTATCGAACCCATCAGCACAAATATCAACTCCGACAATTACATGAGTCAATTTCTATCTAAATAAAAACAAATAACACTAAATTATACGTAATACGTCGCATATTTTAATCGCTAAGAGAAATTTCCACTTTCTAAATAAAAATCTAATTATTAGAATAAACACCAAGATTAAAAAAAGGGATAGAGCACGGGCCCACAAACCATGATATGCCATGTTCTCAATCTAACGGAAAAGTACTGCTGGCGATTACCCGCAAATCTCGGAAAACAGGCCGTATAACTCCAAAAATATAAAATAAAATAAAAGTCATTGGTCGTCGCACCCATTTCGGTGTATAAAGACCGAACTGCCCTCACAGTCTATCGGAGAGTGTAGGCGCGTGAAGTAGTACTTTCGTGCATGATGAAACGGTAAGTTTACCGCAGTAAAAGGTATTTTCACTGCAGATTCTCAGAAGAAGTTTATAAAAAAAAAAAAAAGGGTCGAAAGAACATTCAGTCGCATTAAAGCCATGTGAAAGTTGACGGTGGGTCAAAAAGCCAAATGATGAAACTACCCTTGGAGAAACCCAAACGGCCAGCATGGATCGAATATGCGGGGAAGGTCATTTCCCCGGTCTCGCAGGGTAATTTGGGAACACAAAAAGGTTTGCAGGTCTCAGAGTCTTGAGTTCGTCGTGTTCTGGAAAAGAAATCGAAAGCAGCTGCAGAAGCGAATCTCGAAGAACCTCGTGCTCCGTGCGCACAACCCCTCTCGGCGTTCACGAGCTAACGTGCGCCGGTGGCTAAGATAACTGACTAAGAAATCAAGCAACCGAATCAATCTCAACCGTCGATCACGACGATCGGCACCAGACTAACCACGAGCTCCGCCGCTTAAGCTACCTTAATCGAGAGTTTTCAATAGCACAAAAGAAAAACCGGATCGGTAACAATTTACTAACGCCGCCGGCGCAATTTAACTGCGCCGGAGCAGATTTGCTAGCGTGCGCATTCGAGCTGAAAATGCTTTGAAAATTGAGAGAGAGAGAGAGAGAGAGAGGGATGAATTGTGTGTGCACCTTTCGGTAAGTGGTACCGTCTTCTTCGACGGTCCAGCCGGCTTCGTTGCAGAGAGCTTTGAGGACCTCGTTGTTGTCGCAGTGCTTCGGGAGCTTGTAGTTTCCGTACATCCGCAGCCCGGAGTAGATCTTCGCGGCGATTGCCCGGCGCCGCCGCTCTCGCTTCTTGTTGTTCTCTCTCTCCTTCCACGTCGGCATTCTCGTTCCCGACGTCATCATTCGGTCGCCCAGCGTTTCTTATTAATTTTCGTGGGGTACCAAACGGATCGACCCGCAAGTGGGGAGGACCGGTGGCGCGAACTGGCCGGCGAAACGGGATTGGCCCTTTTTGGTGGAGACTGAGCGGTTTTATTACACAGGGATAGAAGAGAAGAGCAGGGGGCTTTGGAGGAGAGCGAGCTAAATAGAACGGGTGAATGTAATAGCCCCTGGATGAGGACAATAATTACGAAGAGTACCACTCCTTTTCTATTGATTTTTCTTTTCGTTCTGACTCCGGAATCACGGGGCTTGGCACGTGTTTAGGTTTTTTAAGGTCGCGGGTGACGGCCTCGGACTTTCGCGGCAGCTAGGAGTGAATACGGGGTCGTTTTGAATAATAAGCAGCATTTTACATGAGAGGAGGATTCTCTCTTCTTCCCTCCTCTCCTATTTGAACGATTACGGTTTAATCACGTCAATATCTTATATTGATTTTTTTATAAAAATAATAAGATAAAAGAAAAATATTTAAAAAGAAAGAAAAAAAGGAGATGAGAATAGAAGGAAAAAGGATCCTACTCTTTTTACATGATCACTTTGCTTCTTGATTTATATTTTGATGTTCCAACAAAGCCAGGCAGGAGTGATTACGTGATAATGACAGGGATGGGCAAAATGGGAAATTTGAGAGAGGGTGGGGGTGGATTGGGGATAAGGTTATGATTAGGCTTGTCATGATAATTGTATTTGTGGTCCATATAAACAAAAAAGGAATTTGCACAAATGTCCCCTGAATTTTTTTGGGATGTGTTTATTTACCACCCAAACTAAATTTTTTGTTCAATTGTGTGCGGCTAAATTGCCACCTCTGTTATGTTATGCTAACTATGTTGTTAAGTTTAAGGTAATTTTGTCGATTTCTATCTAAAATACTTTGATCAAAATCTTTAAATTTATATAAACAATTAAAAAGGCGAAGAGAAGGAAAATTAGGAAATACATTGCAAAAGGTCAAGATGGAGAGAATGAGTTAGGGAAGAAGAGAAAGATGAAGTGGAGGAGGGATATAGACAAGTGGAGTTGCGGAGGAAAATACAGGAAACACAACAGAGGAGAAAAGACTAACTTGGGTTGTGTTGTGTGGGGGGTCATAGAAATGAGATTATAAGTCGCAAGGTTTGACATCGGGTAGGGGCCTAACGGCTCCGAGTTGTGAGACCAGGTTGGTATCTAAGATGAGCCTCGTGGAATTTGAATAGTGGTAGTGGTGATTGTGCTGCCAAGAGGAGGGATGGTTAATATCCAGCAAGTGGAGGCGTGGGGGGGGGTGGAGGAAGGTATTAAGTCTCATTGTCTTTCTTCTTCTCTTTTCAATATTGTATTTCGTTATTTTAGAATTTTTTTTATTTAGTTTGAGTTTTCAATAAATTAAAAGATTAAATTAGATCTGGCCTACATGAAGAAGGGGCTTACTTTAACGAAAAAATTAACAGAAATCATCAAAGGTGGTACATTGGCACCAAAATTCAAGCCTAGGTGGTGTTGGACAAAGGATTTAGTTTAGGTGGCGAATGCACACACTTCTAATAATTAGGTGGTGTTTGTGCAAATTCCCCAAAACAAAACATCAAACGGTCACATTCACTTGACCAAATTGCGTACTTTGACCAACCTGACAATTGACTGGCCCTAATCTTTTCTAGGTCGCTCTAGTTGGAGTATTAGACTAGGCTTCAATTTCAACCAATACCGACATATTAAAGACCAAACTATGAGTGAGTTAAGGGTTTGAACACCTTCAAATATATTTGAGCATGCACAAACCTACGGGTGGGAAAAGTTTGAGTACGTAATCGATGTGTTATAATATATAGAGAAGTGTTATTGATATTTTAAAAATTTTATTATACACTTCTCATAAGTGTATTTTTCTTTCTAAATATAGAAAGTTTGAAATATAAAATGAGAATTTTGAAGTACCAATAACAATTCTCAATATATATTATACGACAATCTTTGCATAATACAAGTACATGGTGTGATATTAAGAACACGCAGTGGTCAGACTACAAACGAATTGTTAACACTGTCTAGAATAGTGACTATCTAAAATGTTAACAACAAGGAGCGATTGTCTCTAATTGGTAGCTCAAGTGGGCAACAGTCCACTCGATATTAACCATATTAATTTTCTCACTCTCCTCAATTTGTCTCGTGTCGCTCATTTCACAGTATCTTTTCTTCTTTAGTTTCAAGGATCAGCTCACTACAGTTTGCATCGTGAGTTAAAGATGTTTTGTTGTCAACTGTTTGTATATCCGCACATGCTAATGTTAACTTATACAACTTTTACAATACATTCATGATTATAAATTAGTGACAAGTAAATGGTTACGAACAACGCTTTAATTAGACTAGGAGTAGAAGTAATAGTGTAATGAGAAGTGTTAAAAGGACTTTCTCAACGTGAACTCTTTATAAACTCTCTATCACCAATCATTTCACAAGGTCAATTCTCGTACCAACATTATAAAACATTGTGTCAACAATATGAGTGGTAAAGATTCAGAATCACTTTTAAGAGAGTCTCCTTACAAATTCTGGTGTGTAATTAGCTACTAAACCCTAGCCTAGGTTACCTGTAGGTTGGAAGCGTAGCGTACGTATAATAAAAAGTCAAAGTTGAGATGGTAAATGATTTGTTTAGGGATGTGGGGGGCAGTTTAAAGCGGCGGGGCCGGGGTTGCATGCCGGCGTGCGGTGGCTATGGGAAGTCTCTCTCTCTCGCTCTCTCTCTCTTTGAGTTTGCAGCCAGTACTTTTGTCTTTTGTCAGTACTCTGTGTGTGTGTGTGTGTGTGTGTGTGTGTGTGTGATGTGTGACGGTGTCAGTTGAGTTTGTTTGGGTGTTGGTTGGTACTTTGGATTGGGGTGCACTGTGTGAAGCGTGATCCGCCATGCACTGACTGGACTAGTGTCCTGTGTTCTGTTAGGGAGGTTCACGTGACAAATGCTGGTGGTGGACCGGGTATTGATCCAATATGTATGACTGACAGCTGACTGACATGATTCACATCGAGGCGGAGGAGGTGGTGAGCATTTTGTGGGGCCCCTAAATATCTGCTGTGCGCCACCTTCCAAATTAGCTGGTCTTTCGGCTTCTCACTGATGGGGGCGGGCCGGGCTCGCCATCCCTCTGGCCCTCTGCCTCGTGCTCGCTTTCTCAACACTGGTTTTTTTGGTATCGCATCAGGTGGTTTCTGCCACTTTGTAAACTAGGTGGTGTTTAGGGTATTCATAGAGAGAGGGGCGATTTCTGCAATCTCCTATTAGCGTCTTGCACTATGTGTAAGTAGAGTCAAGAGACATTGTGAAAATCACTTTTTTGTGTTGATATTGTTACGTTGTGAATACAAAGCTATAATGTTAGATAATAATTAACTCAAGTATTGATCTGCATTTACACGTTGGTAAGAAAATCATCTTTCGTGCAGAACATTGTTTTTGTAGATAAAGTTGCCTCTACTTTAGTATGTATATGTATAATCACGTAGTTATTCATAATTGTTTGATTAGATAGAATCGTATCCACATGTATGGTATTCATAATTTGTTAATCTTGATATGATTTTTGTTGCACTGAAACAAATTGAACATTCAACTTATTCATAATTTTAATTTATTATTCAACTCTCCAACAGCACTTGCAATCTCTAAAAAATGGTTAATTAACGATGATATGATTTCGATAGTATTGTTTTGTTGAGTTTATAAAGTTCTGATGTGATTTATATGATGTAATCCTAAATTGGGGTATAGCTTAAAACTATAACGTAGAAGTTTGTAAAGATATATAAACGAGAAACCTGCAATTTGTCAATTGTCAGCTTGCTATTTGGACAATAATAGTCTCTCACTTTACAAACTTCTACGTTATGTCCAAGCCGATGCCTCATGGGCCAATCTATTTTCTCATTCAAGAAAGATAAATGATAAGAAGACTATTCAAAGTTGGACTTTTCAAGGACTCTCCACTACTTCATTTTTTTGTTCACAATTCTTGTCTTAACATTATAAAAGATTGTGCCAAAAATATGAGGTGACAGAAAGTCTATGGAGAGTCCCACTTTTGAGATAGTCTTCTTAGCATTTCTCTTTCATTTTTTTCAAAGAATGACTGGCATAAAAGGATATACCAACATCATAAAAGTGAGACTCTTTATAGACTCTCCGCTACCTCATATTTTTTATAAATTCTCATGCCAATATTATAAAATATATGTGCCACAAAACATGAGGTAAAAGGGAGTCTCACTTTGAAGGAGTCTTTTAGCATTTCTCTTTAATAAAATCATACAACTTTTAAGAAAATTCGTCATAATTTTAAATATATTTTTCGAGAAGCTAGCAAGACGATTGAGTTTGCTAATTAATGACAAGAGAAACTTTAAGGAAACTCTCTCAAAAATGAAATTCTCCATAGACTTTCTGCCACCTCATTTTTTTTATACAATATTTTATAATGTTAACACATAACTCGATGTCAAACAGTGAGATTAAATAAATACACGTATTTGTACTTATCTAACCAACTTGTGGTAGTGGCGTATTGTCAAACCACATGTACAGTAGAGGTTAGAAGATAATCGCCTTTTCTTTGAAAAACCGCCAAGTGATGGTAATGTTTATCACTCTATTTATCACTGTTAGATGAGTTTAAATTTTGAGATTTATGCATGTTCACTACACGATTCTCGAAATTCAAACTCATCTAACGGTGATAAATAAAGTGATGAGTATACATCATATTAAAGGTGGTGAGCAAAAATACTTCCTTTATTTTATTAAACAAACACGGCCTTACGTGGCTCCAATTGGTGGCAAATACGCCGCTAAAGCACGTGGGTCAGCACCCTTCGTTGAGACAAAATGACACAGTAGCAAGGTCGTCTCCAAGCATTTGTCCGAAAGCTAACTTAATCCGAATACTCAAATAAGTAATGTGAAATCACTCAGTACTACGATCTGATGATATTCATCTTTATTTGTAAGTAAGAGATCTTAAGTTTAAATTTTGTAGATGACGAATTCGATACTAAATTAGGTTGTACCTTGTATGATTTAACCGAAATCTCTGTCCCCGTATTATAAAATATATCATTGTACTAAAAAAAAAAAGTAATGTGAAAAAATTGAATATGTGTGGTGACTTCAAAATCCAATCAACTTTTCTCACTTTTCAACGATGAAGCTTTGTAACAATTCGAAAAAGTCTACATTTAATACAACGCGAAAGTACGAGTAAGATTCAAAAACTTACATTTAATACAAAGCAAAATATACTACTGAGATTAAAAAACCAAATCTTATACATTCATTACTTTTACGATAATATGAATGCACTTAAAATGTAGAAAAATGTTAAGGGGACTCTCTACAGAGACCCTTTGCCATCTCATAATTTAACTTAATTTTCGTGCTAGTATTATAAAATATTATGTAAAAAACATAAGACGTCAAAGAGTTTATTTATTTAAAATCCTATTTTTAAAGTGGTCCTTTAGCATTGATCTAAAATGTTTTGTCTCTATGTCTTAAATTATTTTTCTAGTGAATAAAATAATTAAATCCTCGGGAAAAATAAAATTCTGTACGCGTTTCGAAAACAAGGATCCCCAAATATTCGGCCCATTCGAATCGTTTTTGGGGGCTTCGCAGTCGAATTTGCTCGCCCAAAGCCGATCACCCTCTCTCTCTCCTCTCTGCAACTTCCTACTACTGACCCCCTCTATTCTTATCAACTTCTCGTTGCTTTCGCTTCAAGCCTTCCGTTCCATTAATTTTTTTAGTTTTTCAAACCTCCCGACTTTTCAAAGAATGCGAATTGAAACTGTAGTTTCGTTTCCGGAAACTGTTCCAACGAGCTGCAAAACGACTCGTCAAAAATGCGATTTTGTTTCGAATTCTCCAACTAAATAAATCAGAGTTGAAAAGTCATCTGAGATATTTGATTTTGGTCAATTGCTGGATTCTTGTTTCCGTTTCTTCGGGGTTGACTGAACTGCGACTTCTGGTAATTAGCTAGAATTTTCAGTCGTCCCCATTTGGGGTATTTTTATTGGGTTGAATTTCGAGTCCCCATTTGAAAATTCAATGCGATTTTCATTTGGGTTCTTCTGATTCAATGGAAAGTTAAGGTCTTGGAAGGTTCTCTTTTGAAGGGTCTTCAGCTGGGTTTTGGGTCCCATTGATATTGGAAAGTTTCGTTTTTGGGTTGAGATAATGTAAAATTTGAGGTTTTCGAATCGAGTTTTTGTGAGTTTGAAGGGTTTGATTTTTTTTCTGGGATTTTAGAGTTTTGTGGGGGGTTTTCGGGTGCTCTTGATTCATTGGAAAGATTCGTTTTTGGGTTGAAAAATGTAAATTTGAGGATTTCGAATCAATTTTTGGGTCCTGCGTATACAAGTGAGCTTGAAGGATTTGATTTTTCAAGAATATTAGAGCTTTGAGCAATGAGGAGTGGTTGATCATTTAGCTAACCTTAATTCATTGGAAAGTTTCGTTTTTCGGGTTGTAGGCATGTATACTCGAGGTTTTCGGATTGGAGTTTTGGTCCTGCATACACAAGGGAGCTTGATGGATTTGAACTTTCTGAGATTTTAGAGTTTCCGAGATGGGGTTGTTGATTTAGTTCTGGGTTTTGATTTGGTTTGTGGGGAATTGAATCAATTGATTAGGATGGAGGAAGTTCAAGGTGGCACGAGTTCGCTGCCTCCTTTCCTTTCCAAGACATATGAGATGGTAGATGATGCTTCAACAGATTCAATTGTGTCATGGAGTGCCAGTAATAAGAGCTTCATTGTTTGGAATCCGCCGGAGTTCGCTAGGGATTTGCTGCCAAAGTTCTTCAAGCACAACAACTTCTCTAGCTTCATCAGGCAACTCAATACCTACGTAAGTCAATCGAGTTTTTTAACTCAATTCCGCTTCAGTTTCAGTTTCAGCTTGCTTTCTTTTGCTTCTGTTGTTTGACATTGGTGTATACGCATTTATTGTATGTTTGTAGTTTTAGTTGCTTAAAGTGATTTGAATTATTACAATAGGGTTTTAGAAAAATTGATCCGGAGCAATGGGAATTCGCCAATGACGATTTTATTAGAGGTCAGCCACACATTATGAAGAATATCCGTAGGCGAAAGCCGGTGCACAGCCACTCTTTGCAGAATCTTCAAGTCCAAGGGCAAGGGACTTCTTTGTCCGAAGCTGAACGGCAGAGTATGAAGGTTGAAATCGAGAGGCTTAAGCATGAGAAAGAACGCCTTGGTGTGGAGGTACAGAGGCATGAGCAGGAGCGGCATGGATTGGAGTTGCAGATGCAGTTCTTGATGGACCGTTTGCAAGACATGGAAAAGCAGCAGCAAACCATGGCGGCTTTTGTGGCTAGGGTTTTGCAGAAACCGGGGATTGCCTCCAATCCTGTTCCGCAGTTAGAAGTCCGTGAGCGAAAGAGAAGGTTGCCAAGAATCAGTTGGTCCTTCGATGATGCTAACAGTGGATATAATCAGATGGTTAGTTCACAAGCTGTAATTAGAGAAAGTGGGAGTATGGAAAAGTTGGAGCAGTTGGAGTCTTTCTTAACATTTTGGGAAGATACCATTCATGATGTTAGTCACAATAACATCCAGGTTGGTTCAAACCGAGAGGCGGATGAATCTACAAGTGGTAACGAAAGCACAGCTTTGTCTTCCATACAACTGAATGCTGACATTCGGTCAAAATCCCCTGGAATTGACATGAATGCTGAACCCCCTGCTTCTGTTGCTCCCAAGCCTGCTGCATCACAATCCTCGAAAGAACAAACAGCTGGAATTGCTGCTTCTGCGCCCACCACCTGCCTTGATACAACAAACATCTAAAGAAAAAACAGATGGAACCACCGCTTCTGCAGCCACTGGGGTCAATGACGTATTTTGGGAACAGTTCTTAACAGAGAATCCTGGTACGTCGGAAGCACAGGAAGTTCTGATCGAAAGAAAGGATTCCGATGGTAAAAAGAACGACAGCAGACCTGGTGATCATGGTATGTTGTGGTGGAATATGAGGAATGTAAATAACCTTACAGAACAGATGGGGCATCTTACTCCAGTAGAGAAAACTTGATATTACTAGTTCTTTTATTCCGGTATAAATTTAGGTATGAATACTTTGTTCTGGCTATATATAGATACTCTGTGTTTGAGTTCATTTTCTTCTTGATTATCTTTATATTCTAATTACTATTCTTATACCTATAAACTAATATAACATCGTTTAATTATTTTTATGTAAGAATTTTACGTGCTTTTAATCTCGCTCTCCTTATGATGGCATGTACGTTAATCAACAATTCACAGATTTTCATCCACGTTAACTTTTGTTATTAGACAATTTGCTGCGCTTCATATGGCTGTGCACATGAGTCTGTTAACCCAGTTGCCTTGAAGTTCAATGATCTTAATTCTGTTTCATTCCAACTGGGCATCTGGTGTTTGGTTGACTTGATAGTTCAACGAAGGGTCTTCAGCTCGAGTAATTGCTTCTTTTTCTATAGAATTTATATTCTTCGCTGAGGATATCTTCATGTGACACGACTAGTTGTGGGAAATACATAATTCTGAACTCATATGAAATGATTGTTTACAGCCTTATTACGCATCTCCTGTTTTGACGAAGTTCTCTGTGGTTGTAGGTTCCTCTCGATAAGTAGCATTTTTACTTTTGATTTGAAGAACCGTATGAATTTTTGCGGGGTTTGACGATTGAAACTGGGTTTTACCACCTTAATCTTCCCCGCATTTGTGCATCTTACACACATTGTAATTCTACATTTGCATTGCTTAGTTAACTTTCACAAATTTTGAAGCAGTAAGAGCAATTAGAATTAGAAAAGTAGTAGTGTTATCTACTTTACAATTTGGCTACAAGTTTTGCTATCATTAGCTAAAGAGAAATTAGTCACTGCCATATTGTTCATGCTGTAGTTCAGTACCGAAACAGGTCCGGTTCATGCCAAACCATACCTGCCGGAATACCTTGATGATGAGATCATGGTATTCGTCGGAATTCAAGGTTAGGTAACAAGCCAAGAGCTCTTCCAGATCCTCCGGCTGGGTTATCTTTTTCTCCACAATCATCTCAACCATGGAGTCTCTGAAGTCCTTCTGTGGGTCGAACGAGCACTTCACCACTGCAAAGCTGTTCAACCCTGTTCTTACCTGCTGTACCGCTCTCTCCTGAGCCTCACTTTCAGTCTTCAGTTTGGCCTTCGTCATGTCTTCGAGAGCCTTTACTTTGCAGATTTCGACCCTTGAAGCTGTCCGCGGAGAACAAACTCTGACTTTGCAACTCCTCCTTGTCCTTCTCCTCTGCAATTCCCTGCTTATGTAGAGAGATTTCCGGTGCTTCTCGCTCTTCGACTTCACGTGTTCCATCTTCCTTTCTTTCAATCTCTGCCAATCTGAACTCTGTTTTTCTTCTGCAGTCTCCGGGTTCAAAGCTTCTTCCTCAATTGTTTCCAGACCGGAAGTTCTCGAATTCCGTGAAGGTAAATCTTGATTCTTTACTGCTGCTAACATTTCCAGTACATCATTTCTCACAGAAGCTGTTGATCTGTCTTCTTTCTTAATCGCTTCTCGTTCGAATTCCTCCTTTCCGAAAACTCTTTTGTTCGTCATCCATTTCGAGTCTTTAGCAGTCCCAGGTTTATGCATGCCCATCAACTTCTGAGACCCTTCTCTTCCCTCCACTTTTGTACCACTCTTTTGAAACCCTCCACAAATGGATTTCCGACGTCAAACTCATCATCCGAATCGTACCGCACCGACCTCAAAACCCCCCTGTCGTTATTCCCTTCAGCACTATCTTCCCCAAAAGACAGCCTCCAAAACGCATCATCCTCGTCATCATCCACGCCATGAAACCTCCCACCACCATGACTACCACACCTCGGCAAATCCAAAGGCGGAGAATTCTGCTTCTCTTTCCGGTTTCCCTTCCCGGGTTTCGGTTCCGAATTCCCACTCTTGTGCTTGAACTTGGAAAGCCATGAACTTGGAAAGACATGAGAGATCAGAGAAGGCTTTGAAGAAGAAGAAGAAGAAGAAGTAGGGGGATGCTTTTGCTTTTTGGTACCCCACTTCATGATTAAATTCCACCGAAAATCTGAATTCCAAAAGGGAATTTGGACTGTTTGGATTTGCAGAGAAGGAAGATTGATCAAGTTGTAGGGTTGTAGGAGCTTAGAGGAAGGAGGGAGGGACGGTTAATAGGAACGTGGGTGGGTGTGGGCAACGGGTAGTGTTTTTCTGGATTTGTTTTTCAAAAGAAAGGCCCGCCCTAAATCTTGTGACCACTCACCCACTTTTTCCCTACTTTTGTGCCTTCTTTTTTGGGATAAAAAGGAGAAGCAATTATGTGTTGTCTCTGCCCATCATAGCATATTAGCATTAACCTCACCACAAATTGGAGAGATTTTTTCCTGTACCGAAAACATGATCTAAGTGTCGTAAATACTTGAAAATAAAAAATCAATCACTTGTACTATAATATTTGATGTACTGGACGGTGTTTCTTGTACACTGAAAATTTTCTCCACAAATTGGAGCGGCTTCACATTCATTAATGCATGAAAACTACATATTCTTGAATTTGATTTGCTATAGAACAATTCATTTATTACAACTTATTACAAAGTTAGAAACTAACTCAACTGAAAGCAAGTTGATGAGCAATTATGTGGTTAGAAAGGAGAAAACTTGTGTAGACAATCAGATCACATGTACTGTCGAATTTTTATAGTCAAACAAACATGAATTTTTTTTCTCTCGTGATCAAAGACTATTTAGTGTATACAATGATATAGAGCTCACTTTGATGACTAAGTGTAACTGTTTGGAAAAATTCTTGAGTGTTTCTGATTCTAAATAACTATGCATTCATTTTTATCATCACGTGACTAAAAACACATATAGGATTAAATATGAATTGTGAGATTGCATGCTTAATCAGGTTTTTCCATTGTCGTAGACATTTACTAGAGTTTTTTAATACAACATTATGAGGGGATGGGAAATTAAAATATTCTACTAAACGGACACATGTGACATAATTAATTATCAAACTCGTCACCTATAATTACACGTTGTCCTATTTATTTATTTCTGTGTGTTTTGGGTTTTGTTTGGGGCACGCATATCCGTTTGTCCTTTTATTCCTACTTTTTGCTTTGTTGCTTTGTCTTTGGTCCTGAGTTTTGTGTCTTTCTATTCAGTTTGGTCAAAAAGATTAGTACAGTGGGCCACTGGTCAGACTAGTTGAATGCAAAAAGGGCTCGATTGGTCGAATTGGGCTGGACTGATCTGAAATTTGGGAGGGAACCAAACATGAGAATTGCTAACCCACATCTAGATTGGGCTCCTAAACTTAGTCTTGTTCAATTTAGAATGCATATGAATAATCTTGTGACCATCAAGTTTAAAACACGTGCATAACATAAATTCGGTCACGTGGAGCATGCGCAACCGTTGGACGTTACATATGAACCAATCTGCTATGTTACCACGAAGAAAGTTAGGGTTCCACCATAAAACCAATTGTCAATATTAAGAGTAGTTCAGCCTCTTATAAACCCTTGCATGGTTTGATCTTCTCAAATGTGGAACTTTTGTCCTCACACTCTCACATAACTAACTTGTGATGGGACATCTGTTCCTACAACTCTCATTACAGATCTCCCATCACTTAATTGCATGTAAATCTTTCTCCTGGACCGTGTCAACGAATTTTCTGATACACAAAATCTTGTTTTTTAAGTTGCTCGCATTAAATTCAACGAGAATACTATTCTTGTCTAGAACTGTTGTTTCCCTGCCGTAAAACGCCCGGTCAGGAAAATTTCTCAGCCGATTCAAAGTCACTAAGTCATGCCTGCAATTTAAATTTTAATTTCGACCCTTTTGGTTGCATTTCTTAGCACATTCAAAGCAACTAACAATGCTCCTGTTGAGTATTGATATGGTCAAAGACTCTCAATGCATTATAACTACTTTTTTTCTTTCGTTACTCAGTCACGTGATATTACAATTTGTTTATATATTTTATTAATTTTATTTTCCTTAAAACATAAACTTGTCAATCACCCATATTATAACAGTTGAATTAATAACAAAACGTGATGGTATTCTATCTGTCTTATTCAACACTGAGAAATCAACATTCACGTTTCAACCATGTTATATTGTAATAAAATATGCCGGCTACAAAGAAAGACATTATTCTATGAGGATTTTTTTTTTAATTGATGAATTATGAGGAATTGACATTCAACCATCTTATAATAACCTAATTATATATATAAATACACTAATCCAAATACAGGGTTAAAAACTCGTGACTCCACCGAGACTGAAAACTACAATTCTTTCTCCAAAACCCAAGACTTCCTGCCTTGGAGGCAATTTATTAATTAATTGTACTAAGAATTCCATACTTTTCTTGCCGTCCAGGCAGTCCAAATCATGAACAAATGGAACAAAACAAGTGAGGGTTGCCTTGTTTTGAAGGTGAAGAAGAGAACCACTCCTCCACTGTGCACATTGTCATCCACATGGGCATTGCCAAATGGATGGATAAGAAGCACACAAAGTGATATTCCTATGCTATTACCAAATAGAAAATAGTCTACAAGCATTTTCCGTTGTAAGCAAATCATAGTTTAACGTATGCATAACATTACTTTAATCTAAATTTACAAGAAGAGAAATCGAACTTGAATATAACGGAGCGAGTACTACCCCGGTCAACTAACCTAACCCACATCTACAATGTATATGAATTTCTTTTAGGGTTTTAACCATTTTTTTTTTTATATGTATCATACTGTAATTGGGTTTTAACCAATGAGTTGGGATCTTTGGATCTTGATGTGGCAAAACAACTCATTGAATTGTTAATAAAACTTATTTAGTTTGATTTTGTCTTACATCATCACCGCTACTAATCTCATCTTTATATTATGATGATATCAAATTAAACTGATTTTAACGAGTACCCATTAACAATCCAATGAGTTAATTTGCTACTTCTATTTGGATTTTTAATTAGGACCCAATAAGTTTAAGTTGAGCAACTCCTTTAAAACCTAGCCCATCATTTTTATGTTTTATTATCATCTTGTCTATAAGCGGTGATTTTTTTTCATTTGTTTAATATGAAAGGGGACCAAGAAAATGGGGTATAAGCTGTAAGCAATATGGATGTTACGCTATTTATCATTAGAAACCATCATTACTAATGCAACTGCTTTGATTTGGCCTCAACCAGAAAAACTTCGGTAGGATGTCTTATCAAGTAACCTGTAAGTGCTTTTCACAAAAAACATGAGATTTGTTGTATTTTGAATCTTATTTGATTTTACTCAATATAAAAATTGACCTAATTAGACAACCTTGTTAAAGTACCGTCTCCTCTAACCACAAAATAAATGGAGCCTTTTGGTGCATCAGCTTTGATTACGTTCCCTTCCTTTCAATCCGATAGTAATAAGTAGGTGGGATTGCCTTAGTGAAAGGCATGCTTCCTCCTCCACTACACACAGTTGCCATTACAAAAGCTCTCGATTACAGACAAGATTCTGCTTCCAAGTGGAATTTTCCAACAGACTTCAGTGGTTGTCTAACGCCCATCCAAGCATATTCTCTTAAAAGATAGGTTAAAAAAGAAGCCAATTACATCTTCCAAGCTTTATCTCACCCAAGGTGCTCGAAACAACTCAACGAAAACAATAGGATTATAGCGATTTTGGCATTTTTGGTTTAGCTTCCGACACTCGAATCCAATTGTATAATGAGAGTGTCCGAGTTTTGATTAAAAAAAAATCAAAAGTTGGACACGTGTCCTCGCCTGATTGGTTATCAGCTCTTTCAGCAGCGAAGTTTTGTTTAGGAAAGAATTGATCAAGATCCTCTCTTGACCCTAAAAAACTGAGCCTGCTAAGCAGGCAATCGTGACCGTTGAAATTTGATCTAACATTTATAATTATTATAACTTTTAGAAAATCCTCTGTTTGCAGCTGTTGGATCAAATTTCAACGGCTACGATTGTCTGCTCAGCAAGCTGAGTTTTTTAAGGTCAGGAGGATCCTGATCCGGAAAGAATAAAGAGTGTATCGGAATAGTGATGTGACGCTTGACCGTGTGACTAATGCTTGGCTGATAAGAATCCATGGCATAGACGAAACCTCACCAAACCTGGCATTTGGTCATTCAAACAATTGAATGAAGAAATTATGTCCACTATAACATCACTGACGAATAACCACTAATTCTAGTCTCCAGAAAGTTCCCCAATGAGGAAATATCTTCAGCCCTTTCCCCTACACTCTTCCATAAAGTTCTTCAGACCTTTCAACAACTAAGCTGCCTACCGCGTGTAAATATGAGAGTAGAATTCTCTCTCGTCCAAATTCTCCTCCTCTTCAATCTACTCTTATTTGAACGGTTACGATTATACTATATCAACATTTTGTGTTGACTTTATAGAGAGATAAGAGGAGAGTGAGAAAGGAGGAGAGGGCAGGGGAAGGAATTGGAATGGGGAGAAAATCCTACTCGGTAAATATGGATCTTAAAGTAACAGAAACATCAAATGACTTTCACTTTCTGAATATTCAAATGCATGCGACTTGAAAGGTATTATCCCTTTGCGCTTTTAAGTTTTTGCACCAAACGTAATCAGAAGCATTTTTTATTGTCGGTAAGCGCTTTTAACTATTCTTAAAGGTCTTGAACAGGCCCTCCGGATTTGAATGTGAATTTATCATTATTTATTTATTATATGTAATAGTAACAGTATCAGTCTCTGCATTCTCAGTCTAGATCAAACTTCAAATGTGACATTTCATGGCTGCAATTTGAGTACATAAGGATTAGGCAGAAACTTCAAATGTGACTCCTAGCATCAAATTCAGAAGAATTCCGATGGCATTACAATGTACGTCCCTATTCAGAAGACAAAAACAATACTTGGAGCTAATGGAAGACTTAACCCAAAATAGAGCGCAACCGCGTTCTAGAATTCATAGGCAACCCTACTTAGTGAGATAAGGTATTTGTTCAGACCGTCGAAACAACACCTCAAACTGCAGTTTATCAACGTAATTGTAATGGTCTTGCAATTTTTCTGAACACTTTCTGTTTTCGTTTGCCAAATCATTCAACATTACAATGTATACTGATCTTACACTAGAAGCTCGACAACACAAAGTATTCACTAAAATCACAGTAAATACGATACTCCTGTAACTTCTTTATGACCTCCAATTTCAATGAAAGAATGTGTAAATATTTCCAACAAAAATGGGAACACATATAAGCAAGGAAGACTATAAATCTAGGGTTGATGTTACCACTACAAAACAGGCACGGAAATGGACAGCGGCACGGAGACATCACCTACGAAACTCGAATCCCTATTAGCAGCTGAGTTACCTGCAAGTGCATATCCCACGCCGAGACCACCAAAATGCATTGCTGCAGCATTCTCACACCTTTGGAACACTCTAGCAAGAGAAGCTGCCTTTCTTCTTGCCCGCTTTGTACCAGTAAAAAGCAACGTCTGAAGTAACCCTGCCAAAGC